CCCCCCCCCAGAACACCAGCTGGGTGTCGGCTCTCAGGTTTCAGCCCCAGGACGCCAGCACAGTGACAGGCAGGGAAGCTGGGAGGGGCAGGGTGTGAATGTCAAGCCCAGAAGAGGAGTTGGCTGCAGTGCCTTCTTCCTCAGTCAAGGGGAGCCTTCACTTTCTTAAACGCTTTAAATCTGGCTTTTGGCAAGAGTTTTATGTCCTGAGCCCAGGTAGAAGATAAAAATAAAGGAAAAAGATGGTATTTTGCACAAATAAATGTGAACCCTTTTTGACTTATTTATCTTAAGAGCCAACAGACCCCATCTAATTCCTTGCCCTCTATGTTGACTTATTGGTAGGAATGTCCTATGTCTTGAGTTCAGGAGAAGTTGAGTCCTTGAAACATTATTGAAATTTAATTCTTCTTTCCCTTTAAGCTACAGGTATGATCTCATTCCTTTTTTTTTTTTTTCTTTTTTCAGTTTTGTAAAATATGCAGTAACATCTAATCCCTCTTGGCATCTGCATTTTGCATAATTGAATGTATTGAGCAGATGTGGGTGATGTTGTGGTATTAGCTCTCTGCATGTTACCTTTTGCTTGGGAGTCTTAAAACAAACAAATCAAAAGGACTTGATCCCCTTAGAGTACTTCCCAGAAGATTTTCAGCCTTAACTTTTCATGGAACAGTGATAGCATACATATACCTGCTTTCACAAATATGAATGTCTTGTGTTCACTTTGTAAATATTGTAGTCATTCAGCCCAAAGATATTGGGCACACTTCAAATGCCTGCCACTGTATGATATTCCAGGAACATAGATCTGTTTGCAGTCTTGTGCTAGGACCAAGCTCATTCATTAAGTGGTTGACCATTGGAAAGGTAAAATAGAATGCTGATGCATCTAGGGATGAAATAGTACTTTCTTTGAAGAAGGCTTCCTGGAGGAAGTAGAATTTTTAACTTCGTGACCTTTAAGATTCATTAAAATTTAACAGGTAAGACACTTTAAATTTTGAGGAACGGCTTTCGGAGCTGAAATAAACGTGAGCAGAACATTTTTGTGTGTTTGTGGCTTCCTGTCATTTAATAATGCTCACTTTCCATTTATTGTCCAGGTGTAATGAAGTGACTTTTAATAATTGTTATAAAGAAATTTCACTCGACATTGCTGTTTTTCTGAAAAAGTTCTCTAATTTAAGTGCTGAATAGGAGTTTCACTTCTTTTCCACTGAAGAATTCCCTTTTACAACTCCAGATCCTAGGAGACCATCGCCTATCTTAAAATTCTTGAATGTACCTTTAACTGCGTTCCCAGTAAAGTGCAATCAGATATAAGGCAGATCTGTCAGGATTGTTACCTAAAGAGTTCAGTTGCTAGAGTAGGAAAGGGTTCTTGTTACCAGAAGTTTCCCATGGACTGAACTAGAGGACAACGTGGAAACCAAGCCAGAGCGCCCAGGGCTCCCTGCGTTTCCCGTGCCCTTCCCCTGAGACCCTCTGTTCCCTGAGACTTGAGTCCAGTGCTCTGCCCCTTGGTACTGGTCCAGACTTACTATCCCCCTCCCAGCCCCTCTGCTTCTGGCCGCGCCACCTGCCTATAGGCTGGAGAGTGGACTACGAGCAAGTTAGTCAACACGAGATCTTGGCGAAAAGGACGTTTGTCTCTTGAGGAGATGGCTGCACCCCCGTGTCCATTGCAGCATTATTTAGAGTAGCCAAGACGTGGAGACCGCCTGAGTGTCCATCAGTGGGTGGGGGGATAAAGACTGTGCAACGCACACACACAGGAATATTATTCAGCCATAAAGAGGAAATCCTGCCTTTTGTGGCAACATGGGTGCACATTGAGGACATTATGCTAAGTGCAATAAATCAGATAGAAAAAGACAAATACTGTACGTTCTCACTTATATGCAAACTAATTGAAAGAGAATAGAGTGGCTGTCTAGTGGGGGGCTTGGGGGGGGGAGGAGATGGGGAGATGTTGGTCAAATGGTACAAAGTCCCAGCTATAACATGGAAAGTTCTGGGGATCCAGTGTATAGCTTGGGGACTATAAGTAACAATACTGTGTTACATACTTGAAAGTTGTTAGTAAAAGTAGATCTTAAGTGTTATCACCACCAACAGAAAAACTGGTAATTCCGTGAGGGAATGGAGTGTATTAAATCACCACATTGTATGCCTTGAACTTACATATATGTTAATACCAATAATATCTCAATAACAGGGGCATGCTTGTCAAAACCTAATTACCCTGTGTTTGAAATGTTTTCTCTCTGATCTGGATGGTAGTTACTGAGGATATAGGTGTATCAATTCATTGAGTTGTACTCTTAAGATTTGTGCGTCCCAATAAAAATATAAAAAAATACTAATAACCAAAAACTCCATTATCTTAGCCACTGAAGTATTGCCAGTTTTGGTCTATCTGGGGGAAATTTTGCAATGATTTATGCGTTGTCAAGCATGTAAAAATAACTCTTCAGAATTTTCGATGTTTTTCTTTTGCATTCCTTTTTAAAAATTTTTTCAGTCAATTAGTTGAAATAACCTAAATAGGCAACAACTGTTTGTACATGTTCAAAATTGCAAACAGCTCAGTAGAGAAATAATTGGCCACCAAAAAAGTTTTTGAAATGAAAGAAAGAGGGGAAGGGAGCAAAATTTCTGGAAAAGAAAACTAAAATACTTGCTTCAGGATCTGTAAACTTTTTGATGCTTCAGGCTTTTCAATATTTAAATACCTAGAACTTGAAGATAGTAACCTGCAGCTAAATAATTATTTCGACCAAGTTGTCATGTTTGCCGCCTTGCACCCAATCTCATATTTTCAGCCCATTCTTAAGCCAGTTTTCCCACATTCCCACCTCTCCCCACCCCCGCTTCCATCCTCATGTCCGTAGCTTTGGCTTAAAATTCAGACTGAGGTCTACTGGTGAGTAAACAGTAACTTCGTGATAATGTCAGAGAACAAAAATAGAGCTTAACGGTGAAATCTTTACCCTTGGCTGTGGCTGCCAAGGTTCAAGCACCAAAAGAGAGAGGAAAACATTCCCTTCTAAGAGAGTTTTTTGGGGGCAAGAAAAGAAACTTGATACCTTAAGTTATAGCATTAAGTCTATAAAATCCAGGCATGGTATGAAAAATTAAATTAGAATTTCTTCTCCCCAACAAACCCAGCCAGGCTCACCGTCTTGGATGGATTTACTGGTAGCACAAAGTGCTTCTTAATGTCATTGTCATTTGGAAAGACAGCTGCTTAGCATGACCTCTCTTCTTGGAACAGGACAGCTGGGAAGTTGTGGAAGGACTGAGGGGAGAGATGAACTACACCCAGGAGCCACCCGTTCAGAAGGGATTTTTGCTGAAAAAGCGGAAATGGCCCCTGAAAGGCTGGCACAAGGTAAGATGCTGGCCCGGGCCTCACCTTTATTTGCACCAAGACTACCACCCTCAGCACCCAGTTCTCAGGCACTTAATTTGAAGTTGAAAATTGGGACCAAGTGGACTGTCTTGCTGAATGATGCTTTCTTCCCCACAGAGATTCTTCTATCTGGACAAAGGATTCTTGAAATATGCCAAGAGCCAAACTGACGTAAGTCCCCTTATGAATCAACATGCTGCCTGAGGGGCTAGTTGTCAGCTCGTGGATGGTTTTGTGCCCATGGGGGAGTCCATTTCTCTGAACTGGAACCACGGGGGGTAATACTTCTTTCACATGGAACAGAGGTGCTGCTCCCCACACCCCCAGCTCTGGGTTCTAGGTAGACTCGGTTCACCGCTGAGTGGAGGGTGGGGCCTCCTCTCAACCTCATACTGTGTATCCAGGGGCCCCTCTGGCCTTAGGGTCGTGCTGAGGGGTTCTCTGGGTGGGAGAAGACATTTCTGCAGGGAGAGAACAGGAGCAAGACGTAGGGTTAGTGTCACTCCCACTGTCACGGTGACTGAGGGGTTTGGTGGAGAACCCTTAGGGAAGGTGACGTGAAGTTCCCCTGGGTGTTAACCCTAAGCAGACGCCCATGAGGGCTCGGGATGACTGTTGCTTCTGCCCCTCGTAGGGGCCCTTCGCTCCCCCAGCACTTCTCTCGCCCCCCTTCCTCTCCTCACCTCTCCTACGGTGCTCATCTTTTACGGTGCGTGCAGAACAGTTGGCATGGTGTTGGACCCACAGGAGCCTGTCTTAGATTCCTGCCCTTCTCTCTCTTTTAAATGTTTTTATTTAATACAGAGGGAGAGGGAGAGAGAGAGAAACATCAATCAGCTGCCTTCTGCATGACCCCTACTGGGGATCAAGCCCCAAACCCAGGCATGTTGCCTGACTGGGAATTGAACGGGTGACCTTTTGGGGCATGGGATGACACTCAACAACTGAGCCACACCGACCAGGGCCCCACTCCTCTTTTTAAATCACTTCCCTATGAGCTTAGACACTGGAAACGAGTTCTGTGGGAGGCGGTGCGGTCAGAGGTGGATTCGCTGCCCCACGTGGAGTCAGCCCCCGGGGCTCACCCGCTTCCTCGCTTGCTGTCTGCGTGAGCCCCTTGTTACCTAACCCCTGGCAGGTTAAAGATGACACACAGTGCTTAGAGCTCAGCACTGGGTCACACTGAGAGCTTGCTAGTTCGGGGTCCTTAGGTTTACGATGAGTGGACGCGGCAGGTGAGGGCAGAGGAGGAGTGTCGAGGATGTTGCTACCGTTTAACACATGGTCCCCTCTTCATGCCTCTGCAGATAGAGAGAGAGAAGCTGCATGGCTGCATCGACGTTGGGCTCTCGGTGATGTCCGTGAAGAAGTCGTCAAAATGCATAGATCTGGACACCGAGGAGCACATCTACCACCTGAAGGTGAGCCCGTCCCCCAGGCGCTGTGTCCCCTTGCAGAGCTCCTTATTCTGGGTACAGTACTGTTGCTGATGCCTTTTGAATATTTCCAGACGTCTAGCCAACATGTAGATCTTCCTTATGAAAGTATTTCTGATGGGTCCTATTGTGAGGGACTGTCACACTGCTGAAGGTTTAGCAACCTGTCCCCTCATCTCACAAATACCCCCCATCCCTGTGATTGCGGCAAAGATCAATAACAAAACGCCTTAAGGTTCCCAGTACAACCACGTGCCCCAGACAGTGCCATCTTTAGTGACTAACCATTTACCATAGGTTAAAGTATGTCCCTTGAAATACAATAGTAAATATTCAGTCTGTCTTACAGCTTTGGCTAATTTTGTATGGGTTCCATTAAAATTCTCATATTACAATGAATGTCAGGAATTTTTCCCCTAAAGTGTGGGCCTCTTAAAGCTGTTTAACTGGCCCGGCCGGCTTGGCTCAGCGGTTGAGCATCGACTTAGGATCCAGGAGATCACGATTCAATTCCCAGTCAGGACACATGCCCTGGTTGCCAGCTTGATCTCCAGTAAGGGGTGTGCAGGAGGCAGCCAATCAATGACTCTCATCATTGATGTTTCTATCTCTCTCTCCCTCTCCCTTCCTCTATCTCAAATCAATAAAAATATATTAAAAAAATGGTCAGTCTTCTTTAACAGTAATCTAGATTATTTCTCCATGTATTTCCATTGACTCTTGGTCCTGTGTTTTCACGTGGTCAGGAAATTAAAGGTTCTTGGTCATCCACTATCCTAGTTAACCAAATAAAAGTGATTATTAATTCCTAATTTTTAAAGAACTGGAATGCCTTATGATACGTGAAATGCTAATATCATGACAAGACAGCTTAATACTTCTCTGTGCTGACTCACTTTAAGTTCTGTTTGTCTTTCTTGCTCATTCATTTGAACATCAGCTGTGACTGTCAGGGTAGGTTCGTGCTGTTATCTGAAGGTCCTAGTTAGTAGCCTCAGAGGCAGGCAGTTTTTAAATGTGGGTCATCCAGTCCCATTCTCTTATTTTATGGATGAGGGATCTGGTAGCAGAGTTACTTGGCTGTCCACCCACAGTCCTAGACCTACTTGAGGGGCTGAAACAGAACCCTAGCCCATTATTTAATAACGTGCTTTTATTCACCTACACTGTTTAACCAGTAAAATATGAGTCAAGGTAGGCTCTTGGCACACTGATTTTTAAGGGCCTCTGAGAGGAGATCAGCGCAAAGGATGACATAAGATTCCTGTTAAGCACATCTGGGAAATGAAGTGTATTTCAAGGACATAATTTAGGGGAGACAGAGAGATGAGTCTGTTGGTATTGCTCCTTTCCTGTACATGGCACATTCAAGAGCAGCTGGAGAGGTTTTAAGTCTTGTCCATACTTCTAATAACACAACAAACATAAGAGCCAACCTACCATTTCACAAGGGAATGATGCTGCTGACATTTATTTCCACGTCTTTGCTCCCAGCAGTGGCATTTGTAAAGATTTTAACAGGAGTGACCTGAATTTTTCTTCTTAGAAGTTAACGTACCACCCAGCCTTTGGGGGTATTATAAATTTCCACGTCATGAGTCCCTGTGTTCCAATATATAGGTATCCGTCACTTTTCATTTTGAAAATATTAATATACACTCACACACACACAAATATGGACTATTAAGAAATGCCTGTGCCGCATAGGTGTGTGCTGTGTTCCTTGTAGTACTTTTATGAACATTTGAAATTTTTTACAGTAAAAATTACTACTTACAAACATTATTCTTCATGCAGATTGAATGCTCATTCGTGGAGAAAATGACTAAATGTCTGTGTGTGAGTCTGGAAAACCCTGGAAATCACCGATACTATTTCATCACATTTTTTTATTTCTGAGAGCAGGAGAAATGTTCTTTTAAGCACCCTTCACATTCATTAACATCTATTTCCCAGCAATGTGTTCTCTGACAGAGAAGATTAACAAGGTTAAATATTTTAGGAAGAATTTACTAATTCATTTCGGTTCAGAGAAGACTAATCTGAAAAGTCCGAATTATAAGTGTTTAAAAAGAAGCAGGGAGAGCCCGGCCGGCTGTGGCTCAGTGGTTGAGTGTTGACCTGGGATCCAGGCGATCAGGGTTCGGTTCCTGGTCAGGGCACATGCCCGGGTTGCGGGCTCGATCAATGACTCATCATTGATGTTTCTGTCTCTCTCTCTCCCTCTCCTTTCCTCCCTCTGAAATCAATAAAGATATATTTTAAAAAATTAAATAAATAAATAAAAAGCAGCAGGGAGCTCATATTTTTAGCAGGGGTAGGAGAAGCCGGGACAGGAGGACTTGGAAATGCTTTGAGACAGAGAAATATAAATTTCAGCTTTAGTTGTTTAATGTAACTGATACTGTTCTTGCTTTCTTTCCAGTAGCATAACAATCGGACCCTTTCGTAGAAACCCTGAATGTATAGTTTACAAAGAGCAATTTTACTCTCCATTTCTTCCCCAAACTTGTTCCTATAGGTCGCATAGTGTAAACTAAGCCAATAAGCTGGTATTTCTACATTTCTGCACGTGCCCGTGTGAAAAGGGAGGGCGTCGGGGGTGACCTTGATTGGACGAGTTCTTCCTCTCAGCGGGTGACGCTCCCGTTTCCTCCTGTCAACCTAACCCACTGTAGGTCAAGTCAGACGACGTCTTTGATGAGTGGGTGTCCAGGCTCCGCCACCACAGGATGTACCGTCAGAACGAGATCGCCATGTTCCCCCACGAAGTCGGTCACTTCTTCCCGGGAAACACCGTCACAGACTCCGGGCCTGGGGTCCTGGACTCCATTTCCAGTAGGAAGGTAATAATTTGCCAGCCATGAATCTAAAGAAAGGGGAGGTCCTGGGTGGGGGAGGCCCCCCAGGGGGAGGGGCTGAGCCTGAGGAAGGGAAGGTTTGGGGGAAGAGCCGGGAGCTTGAACTGGGATCGAGTGAGCCGGTTTCCCCAGTCTGTCACCCAGGGCCAGGGCCTTCCCTCTGGGACAGAAACGGACGGGAGCGTGTAAAGGGCGTTTAACAGCCCCGGATGCTCCAGCTTGCTCTTGACCAGTTTGACTTTGGTTCTCTTATCTGGTTGTAAAATGCAGCGGGTACATTTGTAGCTATACAGGATTGCAAACCCCCCTGACATTCCTGTCATCACGTCGATACGATTATCGTTTGATGGAAGAGGAAACTGAGTGCGGTGCAAGGCCTCGCAGCCTGGCGCGGCCCAGCGGGTGCTTTGCTAGACGCTTCTCTCCCGTCCACGCAGACGGCTTCCGTTAGCGACCAGCCCGCGTTGTTCCCTTTTACCCTGGGCGTTCCCACCGGCTCGGTTTTCATTTGTAATGTGTTTTTGTCATCTGTGGAACAGCGCAGCAGCATATCAAAGCAGAATTCCTTTCCAACTGGAAGCAATTTAGCCTTTTCTTGCGGCGAGACGCGGGTGCCATTGTGGTTACAGTCGTCAGAGGACATGGAGCAGTGCTCGAAAGGTAGGGACACTTGGAACCGCTGCGTCTTCCTGTCCCGGCTCCGGGATCTCAGTGGTTTACATTGGCCCCCGGGGGAGCCTACATTCTCCCCATCGCTGTCCACACTCCCGCTCATATTTTGCTTATCAGGTTTGCTCTCGTGATTAACAAAGGACACCTTCCTTGCAGGGTGTTACCTCTTCACCTGGGGGTGCGTGCAGGCAGCTTTTCTTTGCTATTATTATTATTTTAATATATCTTTATTAATTTTAGAAAAGGGAATGGAGAGGGGGACAGAGAGAGGAACATCAATGATGAGAGAGTCATTGATTGGCTGCCTCCTGTGCGCCCCCTACTGGGGATCGAGCCCGCAACCTGGCCATGTGCCCTGACCGGGAATCGAACCGCTATCTCCTGGATCCTAGGTCGATGCTCAATTGCTGAGCCATGCCCGGCCGGGCTCTTTTCTATTCTTTAAGTACCGGTGCCTGATTTCCACAGGGGCTTATTCAGCCACAGTCTTCGGGGGTGGAGTCTGCACAGCTCTCTATTTTTTTAAGTGCCAGAAAGGGCAGTGACGCCCTGTTATTGCCATATTAGAAGTGATGATGACGGTAGCTGACTTTGTGCTTACAAAGTGCCAGCACTCTCAAAGCACACTGCATGTATTAGCTCATTTAACTCACACCTACCCTGTGAGCTAGATGTATAATTATCCCCATTTTCCAGAGGAGGAAACTGAGGCACACAGCAGTTACATAATTTGCCCAAGATTCACAGTTCCTTATGTGCATTCAAACGGAGGCAGCCTGGTTCTCCAGATCCACGCCTTTAACCATGACAGTCTACTGCTTCTCCTATAAAAAAGGAAGTCTAAGTTCCTATCCTTACAGATGGACATCAAATGTAGATAAATGAGAAAAGTGGCTGCTGCTAGCACAGTGCGCCTGAATGCCAAGAGGAGTGCTGAATCCGCCCTGTGCTTTTCTCCACAGATCTGGCACACTGCCACTCCTACCTGCTGGAAATGAGCCAGCTCCTGCAAAGCATGGACGTCCTGCACCGGACGTATTCAGCGCCAGCTATCAACGCCATCCAGGTGAGTCGGATCCCTCTCCTGGTGGCATTCTGCTGCTCCACTCCTTTCCTTTCCCCTCCCTGCCTGTCACTAACCGTGGGATATTGCCTGGGCAGGCGCTTTGGCCACGTTCAAGGGGCTGGAGGTGGTCACTTTGCTGTGCGTTTTCCCCTATCGGTTTGGTGGATCTTACTGTCTGTGCTCTCTTTCCCTTTTCGAAACAAAGGGTGGAGCTTTTGAAAGTCCCAAAAAGGAGAAAAGATCACACAGGAGGTGGCGGTCCAGAGCTATGGGCAAAGATGCTAAAGGAACACTACAGGTAACCATTGCTTCTCCAGTGGGCTGGTTTCCCCATGGGCCCCTCTCTGCACACCATGTGCTGGGGGCCACTGGAACTCAAGGAGAACAGACAGGTGAATATTCTAGTTACTCCCTCAAATACCTTGTGCAGAGAGATGAAGTCAGTCACTTAGGTTTTCTGGACACTAGGATAGGCCTGTGATGGATACTGGGTAAGGGGAAATGGCATGAGGTTGGAGGGACTACAGCTGTTTCTGCGACTTTGGCTTCTCACAGGTTAATGCTCAGGCTGCCTGCCGGCTTCCCTGCTGGGTGGGCGCTCTGACCCACCTCTGCTGCTGCTCAGTGGAGTCATCTCTGAGGACTCAGGATGTTGGGCACATGCTCTTTTGCCTCTTGTCTCCAATTTCCCATCCGAGGTTGTATCACGCTAGCTGCTGACTTTCCCAATGCACAGCTAAGCCAGAGGCCGTTGCATGTTAAATTGCAACATTATTAGGGTCCAGATAAATCAGAAAGTTATGGATAAGTCATCTGCCATATTCCTATAGACTCTTTGGTTCAAAGCACTCTATGGGTTGAACTTAAATACTCCCAAAGTAAAGAATGACTTGTGTACTAATATGTGAGAAGTTAGTTCATTTTCTAGAAGCACCAGGAGCAAATAAAGGAAAACATTTTTAAGCCTCCCCACAGTTAACAACCTAGATTATTGCCCGGAGGAAGGAATTGAGTATAAATGAGCAAGTGCCAGGCAGCTCTAGCTGTCATTTTCAATGTACAGTTTTAATGCTTCTGTCATTTCCAAAGAGTATAGCATTCTCCCCTTAACTGCAGTTTTGCTTTCCATGGTTTCAGTTTCCCACGGTCAACCACAGTCCAAAAATATTAAAAAGTAAATTCCAAAAATAAACAATCCATAAGTTTTAAGTATTATCCACAGTTTCAGGATCCACTGGGGTCTTTTAGCAGATCCCTACAGACAGGGACAGACTACTGTATGTGATTTCTCACTCATTTTTATTTTTGCAAGAAGCCAGTATAACTTGCAGGAGAAAGTGCTTTCCTGAGTTTTCATTTATTTTTCTTATAAGTAATCACTCTGTAGAAAGACTTTGCTATATATTGTCCTTTCCTTACTACTTTCCAATCTTAGAAACCAGTAAATATTCTCAGTCATTTGCATCTGAAAAGAAATCTCTTCTTTTGGTGTCACTCAGGTCCCTAAACCTTTTGATGGCCCACAAAGACTGCATTCTTCGAATCCTAATTTGTCAACACTAGACTTTGGAGAAGAGAAAAATTATTCTGACGGCTCTGAAACCTCATCTGAGTTTTCTAAAATGCAAGAAGATCTGTGTCATATTGCCCACAAAGGTATGTGTTGGATGAGACTATTAAATGCATGTGGGCTGTCCTTGGAGAAGGGACTTTAGTTGGTTAATTTCCTGATCTAATCTATTGAGATTTTAGGGAACCCAATTTTTATTTCATTTTATTTCTCTGGTAGTAGGGGGTGTTTTGGCAAGAAGTTTCTTTTTAACTTCTTAGGGGAGATAGAGCACTAGGTATAATTTAAAAGCTGAGCAATCTATATGCTGCTGATGGGTGTGTAAATTGATACTATTCTGGAGGGCAATATGATATTGTGTTGCAACTTAAAAAAAAAATCTGCCTATTCAGCAACTCCACTTTAAAGAATTCATTTGTAGGAATTAACTTAAAATGTATTTAACTAAAGATATTCATTGTAGTAGTTTGGCAATTTTATGTAAAAATAAACACACTTACCATGCAACCCAACATTCACATTCCTGGGCATTTATCCCAGAGAAAATATAAACCTAAAGTCCACACAAAAACCTGTACACAAGTGTTCAGAGCAAGTTTATTTGAATTAGCCCCAAACTGGAACAACCCAAATGTTTTTCAACAGGTGACTGGTTAAACAAATGGTGGTATATCCACATAATAGAATACTACTCGGCAGTGAAAAGGAACAGACTGTGGTTCTACACAAGTTGAAGGGATCTCAAGGGCATTATGCTGACTGAAAATAGTCAATCTCACAAGGTTACACAGAGTGTGACTCCGCTTATTAACACTTTTGAAGTGATAAAATTATAGAGATGGAGAAGTGATTAGTGGTCGCCAGAGGTTACAGACAAGGAGGAGAGAAGGGGAAAGTATGGGTGTGATTATAAAGGGGTAACAAGAGCCCAGCTGAGCGTGGCTCAGCAGTTGAGCATCAACCTAGGGTCCAGGAGATCGAGGTTCGATTCCCGGTCAGGGCACATGCCTGGGTTGTGGGCTTGATTCCCGGTCGGGGGCGTGCAGGAAGCAGCCGATCAGTGACAACTCTCTCATTATTGCTGTTTCTATCTCTCTTTCTCCCCCTTCCTCTCTCTGAAATCAATAAAGATATATTTAAAATAATAAAATAAAATAAATAAAAATAAAGGGGTAACAAGAGGGATCTTGGTGGTGATGGAAAGTTCTTCATCCTGATTCTGGTGGTGGTTCCACGAATCTACACATAAGACAAAATTACATTGACTTTTATTTACACACATATACCTAAATAAGAGCATGTAAAACTGGTGAAATCTGAATAAGAGCTGTCGATTATCCCAGCGTTGATCTCCTGGGTTTGATATTGCACCTTAGTTACGTAAGATGTCACCACTGTGGGAAACTGGATGTAGGGTGCCCAGGACTTTGCAACTTCCTGTGAGTCTATTATGATTTCAAAATAAAAAGTTAAAAAAAATTAGAAATAATCTAAATGCCCTATAATAGAGGGACTGGATTTTTTAAATTGAGTATAATCATATGATAGAATAGTCAATAGCCACATCATAATAATAGCCAGTTTATTTCGAGCTCAGAGCTGTCCGTCAGGTGTTTGTTTAGCACTTTACATGCACTGTTTCACTTAGTTCTAGCAACAACCTGTGGCGTAGGTGCTCCTGCAATCTCCTTTACACAGATAAGAAACCTGAGACTCAGAGGAGCCAAAGAACTTCCTGAAGGTCACATGGTCGAAAGCTGCCAACCTGAGACTTGAATCCTAACCGGCCTGACCCCAGGGTCTGTGCTCCTCAGCTGGTGTCTCACTGCCCTTACGGATGGGGTAGCCAGGGTTATTTTTATAGAGATAGAAAGATGTTCATGGCATATCACTGAGTTAAAATACAAGGCCACAAAACAATCTATAGGTATGATCCCATTTTTTTGGAAAAAATAAACTATATAAACCTGGTGTATATAGGCATACTCAAAGGTCTGAAGGGATACACACCAGCAGTTTTGTGATGGAGGCTGGAGTTGAAAGTACTTATTTTCTTCCTCATGTTTATCTTTTTTTATTTCATCTATTAATTATTTTTTAAGGAGCAAATGGGTGAAATTTTTTAGTGGGAGGGCTGTGTTTGCAGCAGGAAAGAAGGCAGTCCCTCTATCGCCTTGCTCTCCTAGATCTGTATTTCTCTCCCTGCACATTGTTGATTCCTTCAGCTCTGTTTTTTCTTACCCTACAAACCTAAAACATGTTGGTTATAGGGAAGCCGTTTCATGCTCTTGGCAGAGTCCCACCTCAAACTCTTGTGCTTGCTCTCAGTAGAACGCCGGCAGCGTTTTGCAGTGCTGTTGTACGACCCATCTGTGAAATGGGCACAATCACCTGTCCCGACCCTTTAAAGCTCCTCACACCGCTGTGTGTCCTCTACTATTGCAGGATCAGTTATAATTAGGGCATTGCATGTTGGGTTTTGAGGGAGGAGTGCCTACGAAACACCTTTACTTTTTAATAATATGACCTGTCTTTTTAAAAATGGGAAAATGCTGCCTCCCGGCAGAAGGGAAACAGCCTGCATTTTACCTGCTGCTTCCTCAGCAGGACGGGGTTGCCACATCGAGTCCCTCTATCGATCCCGTCGCCCCGCAGAGGACTCAGCCCCGTGGACGGTCCAGTGGCCTCGGCCAGCTGCTCCGTCTCTCAGGCTTTGTGGGAGCCAGCTGGCTGCAGAGCTGCCACGTGGCTAGACGAGGTCCAGGCCTGCGCTCCGGGAGAGGCCCAGGCGCACTTACCCGCAAGAGCGGGTGCCCCCGGGGCTAGGGACAGTCAGTTCCACCAGGAGCAGACTAGCTGCGTTCCCTTCCTGTGGCACCAGCGTCCACACGGACTCTGACAGACCCCGGGCGTCTCTCTCAGGCTGTATCGCAGAGACCTCCCGGGGTAAAGGGAGCTGTCAGGGTTGCCCTCGGGCCTGTGCCCTTCATGCCTTCCCGCTTCCGTACGTTTCCTCTTCATAAGCCTGCTTTTGCCCCTGACGTTCTATTCTACTTTCTTCACCGTTTCACTAATCTATTGACTATGATTCCGAGCAGCTGAAGTGAAGGCAAGAATTCTACTGATGTTGAAACCTACCGTATACCTATTTTTTCTTCCACTTGTTAAATGCGTTGGAATTCTCCCCGTTTTGTGGAAGTTAGAACAAACGGTAGGCAACCTATATATAACCATCCTAAAATGTCCTCGTTATATTTTGTAGATTATACATTTGATTTTTATGGCATATCTTTGATCTAATTCTCATTGGTTCATGTGTCTGGCTTTGTGTATATGCTGACACACAAGCAAAAACAAAATGTACTAAAATCTAAAAGTCATGAATATGTAAAGGCTTTACATTCCCCAAATTGTATTTTATAGACCACTTTACCCATAAAATGCTTTAAAGGCAAAAGAATTCCATGATTTAAAATGTTTGAAAAGCATTGTTGAGTCTGGTTTTCTTTGCAGTCACACAGGAAACAAATGTTAAAGGTCCTGAGAAGTCCTGCAGTAGAAGTCCTGTTAGCTTTGTTTAACTCAATAATTTTCCATTTGCGGGGGGGAATTTTCTCCCTTCCTATCCAAATAGCTATCAGCTTTTATCACTCTGGAGCTAATGTTCCCAAAAAACATACTTCAGGCAACACTGAAAATAACAAGCCTTTTGGGAGCTAACCCTCTATACCAGCTGAGTCAAGACAGGCAGTCATTCCAGGCCTCCTCTGTGACTGACTGGCTGTGGGACTTGGACCTCATTGATTAACCACTCTGGGCCTCAGTTACCTTATCTGTTAAATGTCCTAAAGTAGTTATCCTGACTCTTTTAGCTCTCAGATTTTGTAATTATCTTCCATGATTAATTATTTTGCACTGAATAGAAACAGTTCTTACTGTTGCTTAATATTGCAAGGATATTTATGAGAGAGTGTTCTATTAGTAATAGAAACAGAAATGACTGAATAGAAGAACGGCGTGGAAGCCGGTAGTGATCACTGAAAGTCGATTGTGTGATGCCCATGGCATTCCACCTGTCAGAAGCTCAAGCTGTGTGCCACTCTCAGTACAGTGAGGAGGCCTGAGAAGCGGCTACAGACAGGCTGGGAGAGATGAGTCAACAGAAATGCCATCATTGCCTCCCGCTGTTTGAAAACCCCAGGAAAGAGGAAATGTTCTGGCTGCCAATGAGCAGACACCGGGGTAAATGCCAGCTTAGGAACGCAAAGGACTTTCTTACCCCGTAAGAGTGAACTGTTTTAGGACACAGCGAATGCTCTGGGAAGCGTGGGCCCAAGGACCGTGTGGCAGGGAAGCTGGGGGATGCAGACCTGCTGGTCGTTCTGTGGTGGTGGCCTTCGTGACCTTTGAGGTTCTTTGTAGTTGAGCATCTAAGACTTTCCACCTGGTCTTGTTTATTAACAGTTATCCATGGATGCGATGCACCCAGTATCTTTCTTTTTCTTTTTCTCCAGCATCATGTTAGAAATTAGTAAGAAAGCACTCCTGTCGCAGAGAATATTCCTGACCTCTGAGTTTCTTAACTGTTAATGCAGCCTTTCATCACTGCTGCGTGTGTGCTGGGACACGAAGCTGCTCTGAAGGACTGTTTTAATGTCCTTGGAGTGGGCCTAAGCGGTCATTTAAGAAATTTAGCCCTGGCCGGTTTGGCTCAATGGTTAGAGTGTCGGCCTGTGGACTGAATGGTCCCAAGTTCGATTCCAGCCAAGGGCACGTATCTCTGTTGCAGGTTCGATCCCTGGCCTGGGTTGGGGTGTGTACAGGAAGCAGCCAATCGATGTGTCTCTCTAACATCAATGTTTCTCTCTCTCTCCCCCTCCCTCTCCCCTCTTCTCTCTATGAAAAGCAATGGAAAAAATATCCTTGGGTGAGAATTAAAAAAAGAAAAAAAAAAGGAAATTTAGTTCATGGGGATCTGGTGTTCTGAGCCCCTTTGTCAGGTGGCTTAGAAAGTGCTTTACATTTTGCTCAGCTGGTGTGGCTCAGTGGTTGAGCACCGACCCATGAACCAGGAGATCAGGGTTCAATTCCCGGTTGGGGCACATGCCCGGGTTGCAGGCTCGATGCCCAGTCGGGGGCGTGCAGGAGGCAGCCGATCAATGACTCTCTTTCATCATTGATGTTTCCATCTTTCTCTCCTCCCTTCCTCTCTCTGAAATCAATAAAAACATATTTTTTTAAAAAGTGCTTTACACCTTAAAATTAAATACAGTGACTATGAGGTTTTTTTTAAAATATATCTTTATTGATTTCAGAGAGAGGAAAGGAGAGGGAGAGAGAGAGAGAAACATCAATGATGAGAGAGTCATTGATCGGCTGCAGCCCGCAACCCGGGCATGTGCCCTGACCGGGAATCGAACCCCGATCGCCTGGATCCTAGGTCGATGCTCAACCGCTGAGCCACGCCCGGCCGGGCGACAGTGACTATGAGTTTCTTTCAGCTTACTTTATGCCAGCCAGTCTTGTCAGCTCTACGCTTTGAACCAAAGGGTATATGTTCTGCCAATTTAAAAATGTTGATAGGACCCTTCTAGCTTGGTTGACTGCCTAGCTTTGGTGCAGGCCATCTGAAAGCCAGAGGAATTGACTTAGTTAAGTGGCAGCCAGCGGAGTGCCACATTTATTTAATTTAGAGCAATAAATAAGAGAGTGGAAAAAAACTGCTTGTAACCAAAGTGATTAATGTTAACTGGACTTATTGCGGTGATCATTTTGCAATGTGTCCAAATATTGAATCATTTTGTCGTACACCTGAAACTAAGGTAATGTTATATTGTCAACTTTATCTCATTTTAAGAAATGACAGTGAAGCAGAACCCCCCCAGGGACCCACTCAGCCGGGCGACAGTGTCCTGTGGGGTCGCAAAGGCTGGGGGTGCCTATCTGACAGCCATAAGATGCAGGACCTAACTGCGGGTTTGTTGCTTTCCAGCTGAGGCTGCTCTTCTGCTGCTCAATAGATTCCGGCCTATTCCTCATTCACAGACCCTCTACCCTGCACGCAGTTATCTATAGGCGTCGTCCTGGCAAGAGACTAAAGAATCCTCCTAAAACTGCTGCCCACGTTTCAGGAGACTGGTCACCACCACATGCACTGCCGTGGTTCTGTCCTCACCGTCACTATTATTATTGCAGTCACGTTTATTATTTACTGTGTGCTCTGCATTGGGTTAAGTGCTTTACTTGCATTCTTTTATTCAACCCCCTAATGATCTTATAAAGTAAATGCTATTATTCTCCCCATCCACAAACGAGGAAACTGGAGGTCAAGTCCATCATCATGCACTTGTCCAAAGTCACACAGTGAGTGAGGGATGGAGCTAGGAAGAGCCCGGGGCTGGCACCGGAGCCCACGCTATTGGTCACTGTTGCGGTGCCCATTACTTTGCTCCTTTGAATCCTTTAAAACAAAGAGCCGAGTGTGTTCCATAGACATTATTAGAAAGCTTAGTAACTATCGACCCGTGACCTCTGTCCCATGTAGACAGAAGCACCATCATTTGTGTGCGTGTTTAAATAGGTTGCTTATTTGTGCTGTGGCTTTGTCAAGATGCTCTAAGTCTATCCCTAAACACAACTTCAGACAAGTTCAGCCACAATCTATAGAAAGGTTCGATTGTCCTCATGGTGTCGAGGCGAAGTCAGTCAGTAAAGCGTATTTCATGTCTGTGACACTAAACAGGCCACTCTTGAATAACAATAGCTCTGCAAATGCACCGCGGTGGAGCTCAGTAATACGCCAGGCCGCTTGGGAAGCGTGTCTCTTCCTTTGCCTGCCCTTCCAACGCCAAATGTAATCAAGGAGCTCAGAAAGATAATATTCAGATGTGAGATCCATTATCGATAATTTAGATGGCAGTTTCCTCCTTTGTGGGAGGTCATTTGTGCACTGTGTGATTGACACCTGATGAGTTGTTTTGCCGCATGTGTTAACGGTTTTTAAAACGGCAGCTCAGGCATCTGCGAGCCTCCTAGTGCTAAACCCAAATTGTGCCCAAATCCTCGCTGCAGCGAGAGTGCTGACTGCAGGCCCAGAGGTGGGGAATTCTGGGTCACGCAGCTGGAGAGACTAACGAGGAAGGAGGAAGGCAATGCCTTAAGTATTTTGAAATAATTTCAAACTTACAGGCAAGTTGCAAGAATAATACAGATAACTCCCACACGTGCTTTACTCAGATTCACCATTTTTAATATTTTTGCCACGTTTATTTTCTCTCTCTCTACACACACCCACTTGCACGTGTGCTCGTTTTTCTGAGCTGTGAGACTAGGAATCCTGTGTCACGTCTTTTTTATGCCTCTATGCTGTAGTGTGTGTTTCCTGAGAACGGGAATTCTTAATCGCAGTTTGGTTATGAAATCCAGGAAATTAGCGTCGAAACAGTGCTGTTACCTACCCTGCCTTCCACGTTCAAATGTTGTCTGTTTATCTCAGTCATGTCCTTTAGTAGCACTTTCCCCCTCAGTACAGGATCTAGGCCGTGACCATATGTTGCGTGTAATTGTCGTGCTCGCTTAGTCTCCTTTAATCGGGAGCAGTCCCTCAGCCTTTCTTTCTCGTAGGTGAAATTGACCTAAAGGCCAATTTTTTAAATAGGATGCTCCTTATTTTGGGTTGTCTGCTGTTTCCTTATGATCAGATTCAGATTGTCCGTCCCCGGTCGGCCAGTAACAAAAACAGCGGTGTGTCTTTTTCAGGGCCTTTCACCCAGATGACACAAAGTCCATATGACTCTCATTGGTGATTAATTTTGGTCACCTAGCTAAGGTGCTGTCTGCTTCCTCTACTGCATTGTTACTGTTTTTACCCTGAGACCCAATAAGCTTTGTTTTCAAACATTTCCAGTCTTTGGGGATACAAACAAAAACTAAATGTTAATATGAATCCTGAAGTATAGTTCTTTCAAGTGTCAAAACGCCTTGATGATAAGTCATAAAATTATGGAATTTTATCATGGGTAGGGGCTTTTGAATTGACAAGTGTGATTTTTAAAATTTAATAGGCTTTTTTTTTTTTTTTAAGAGAAATTTTAGGTTCACAGCAAAGTTGAGCTTATCAAGTACAGGGTTATCATACACACCACCACCCCCAACACACACACACAGCCGTCCCCACTATCAACGTCCCACCAGAGTGGTCCATTTGTTACAATCAATAGACCTACATTGAAACTTCATTATCACCCAGAGTCCATAGCTTACATTAGGGTTCACGCTTGGTATATATTCCAGATGTGTTTTTAAAAAGTCAATTTAGAGTGTACCTTTCCCGCACTGAAAATATTCAGGGCTGTTACTTTTCTAAGTTCTTTTATAAGAAATACATCTGTCTGTATCTCATTTTTAATTATGCCTCTTTCTTCATTCCTTTTTATAATGATTATATCTTTATAGTTTACTTCACTTTAAGGTCAGCTTTCAATACCATATCAACGGAGAGAGAGAAGCTGAAGCAGCTGATGGAGCAGGAAGTCTCGTCCCCCTCTGCCCAGGTCATTGGTCTGAAGTGCGCCCTGTCATCCGTAAGTTCCCATGTCTCTGTACTGAAGTGCCTGACCATGCGTCCAGGCTCATGAATTTTCCATATTTTCCATCCCCGTGGTTGTGTTCAAAATTCATGAGAAAACAAAATTATCCAAAGTATATTCCAGCCTTTCAGCAGATTTGTTTATTCTACAGACCCACAGCAAGCCTGCCCCAAATCTCAGTAGCCAGTATTTCATTGAGCATCAGATAGTTCAGGTTTGGTTTCCTCCTCCTGATCTTGGTTCTCCTGTTTCTGGGAAGCTTCTGTTGTGTGTTCGCATGTGTCTGACAGGCGCTGGTTCATGCTTACACCACCTGGCAGCTGGGAGATCTCTGTCCCTAAGACTTCGCCGGCTTCGCTTGACTTCCCAGGTCAGGCAGCCGAGCAAAATTCTAAATCCACTCTGGTCTTCTCTGCGGCACAGCACTGCGTCTGTTTGCCACTCTTCTGAGGACGGGAAAGTGGTTCGCTTTGATTTGACAGTAGGAAACATTGAGCGCCCCCCGCCCGTGGGAGAGACGGGCCGTCCGCAGTGTCGGGCAATCATTCTGCCTTCGCAGCAGCAGCAGGAGCGGGTCAAGCCTCCGCCGTCCGCCAGGACGCCATCCCTTCTTCGCTCGCTCTCCTTTTCCTCACTGACCCCAGGTTATCCCTCGCAGTGTCCTAGAACTCTCTACTCCCACCGGCTGATGTTGCCTGGTTGCTCATGTATCTGTCAAAAAGCTGGAGAACTTTTAAAATCACATACTTATTTGTGTCTCCTTTTGCTCGTGCCTTGGAATTCCCACGGTGACCAGCGAGTGGGCGCACACCTGTGAAATAGCCCGTCTGAAGAAATACTGAACTTTTTCTCTTTAGGGTCAGGGAGGGGAGACTAATCGGGGGGATCTTGTCTTCAGAAGGCAACTGAGAGAACTAGAAAGTATTCATTCATGTCTCCTATCATGATGTTGCTGAGAAGAGTCATGTTCTTGGTGTCATGTTAATGTAAATGCATTACCAGTAGTATATACTATTATTGCAAAATACTTAGGGGATATTCACTCCGTTGAACATCCCAAGCATGTTGCCTTTGAAAGAAATAAGGAATAATGTGGGCTGACATCATGTCTAGAGTCTTAATGACAGCTGCCTTGAGGAGCTCTGGGATCTTCAAGGTCAGAGATAGAAATATCCCCCTTTGGACTGTAGTGGCCAGCCTCACTCTGGGTGCTACTTTGGTTTGAGAGAATCAAGGTAGTTCTTTTCTTTTTTTTTAAGTTTATTTAGTGGTAAAAAGCATTTTTTATTGTTCCCAGTAGGTTGGCTTTCAGTGCTTTTAGAAGGTACCTCACTCTTATGGACTCCCCAAAGGCCCTCTCATTGTGGTCTCCCTCTCCCCGGCCCTCCTCTCATGGAGGTCTGGTCTCCTCCGGTAGAGGCCATTGAGACGCATTTGGCCATGGTGTCCTAGGCCAGAGTTGTTGTTTACCTTCACTAAGGAATTCCCTCTCACCCCTGTTCAGGATTTTGGAAACTTAAGATAAAACAGAATGATCCTTTCCTTTCTGTCTTGGATTCCCGATAGAGTCGTCTCAGGGCTCTCAGAATGGGTATGTTGTGTTGTGTGTGCGATCTTGGTATTTTTCTTTCTTCCTCCTGTGGCTTGCAAATGAAAAAGAAACTAGTAAAGTAACACATTGGTCAGGCCACAGGTATAGATCCTGGCCGCTGATACTAAGATCCAGTGACCCACTGGCCCGAATAGAGTAAGTGTAGACAGTGTGGCTGCATGTAGCAGTCTCTGTTTTGTGTGTTTAAGAAACGTTTCCTCAGTGTTTCCTAAATGATTTTCGAGAACTTCCAAATCACCCATCCATCGGTACTAACAAAGCCAGAATCCTTGCGAGGGATCCAGGCCCTGGGTTAGACAGCGCCGCGTCCTCTGTGTTCTCAGCAGGGGGACCCAGTGGGCCCTGATGGACGGGAAAGGCTGTGAGGTTCTTGGAAGAGAGTCAGGAAGACAGGCAGGCGGGATGGACCTGTGTGCAGGCACCCGAGGAGCTGGCTGTGGGAGATCTGGGGTGACAGTCAGGTGAACTTGTTCCTTTCCAAAGACAGACTTTGGGAACAGCTGGTCATGACGCCCACAGGGCAGCGACATGAAGGAAACACCTTCCTTTACTGCAAAGCCGGTTCCTTTCTAGCTGGCAGGCTGGGGTAGGGAATCAGATCAAAGAGGCCCGGGGTGGGCTCCCCCCACCCCAAACACCCCATTCCAGGTCCCTGGCTCGCTCTTAGCTCTTACCCAGGTAAGTGAGTTTTGCTTTTGTTTTTTAAATCAAATATCTTAATCATGAAGAATGGATAAGACAATCAACACCTGTATTGGGAAACAATAAAGTTAATCCTCCACAAAATCCCTCTTTCCAAGATTCAGTTCAACTGCTGTGATAATTAACTAACATTAAAATAAGGCCAATCGTAAGGGGTGAGAGCAGCATCTTTTTCAAAGATGAGAGAAGCTTGGAAGCATTAGGGACACTACAGTAGCCCTCTGTATCCACGGGTTCCACATCCACGGATCTAACCAACCAAGGGTAGGAAATACTCTAAAAAAATGTCACGTTGTTGCCGACGTGTGCCCTGTAGTTAGACCTGCGATGGTTGGGTCTGTGCTGAGCACGTACAGACTTTTTCATTTTTCCCTAAACAATACAGCATAACAACTGTTTACATCGTATTAGGTGTTATAAGTAATCTAGAGATGATTGAAAGTACACGAGACGATGTGTGTAGATCACATGCAAGTACTGCACCATCTCACATAAGGGGCTTGCGCATCCGTGGATTTTGGTATCTGGATGGGGTCCTGGAGCCAGTCCCCTGGGGATACCGAGGGACACTGTAGATACGGCTGGGAAGGCGGAGGGCCCTGAAGCCCCCGGTCAGAATAACAGCCGAAGGTGCTGGCGATTTCCTTCTCCATCGGAAAGAAAGCCTGCTAACCCCTCCTGCCATCTCTGGAAATGAGATTAGAGAAGGGCCATCGTTTCCAGAGTTTAATATCTTTTATTTCCCAGGCACCGCAGAACCCGTATCCTGCTGGGTAGCACTCGGGAGAAAAGCCCAGGAAGCGCGCCCTCGGGGCCCTGCGCCGGGCCCTCTGCTGTGCTTTTCTGAAACACGATTTTTAACATGTTCCAGGCCCTAGCACAAAACACAGACCTTAAAGAACGCTTATGCAGGATCCATGCCGAGTCCCTGCTCCTCGAGCCCCCTGCTGCTGCCAAGTCGCCTGACAGCCTGGCAGAGGTGGGTAAGGCTCCGGGTCTGGTAACGCTCTGACCTCACCTGACGCCCTGGCTCCCCGCCGCCTCCCACAGCGGCCCGGATCCCAAGGCTTTCTTCAGTCTGCCGCTAACTGCATTTAAAAATTGCCCTTCCCCACCCAGAGCTCTTTTTCCCTTTGTGTTTCTTTCCCATTTTTCTCCTGAGTATCTCCGTTTCCCCAGGTATTCCTGAGCAGGAACTGTAGAGAGACCAACCTTTTCTTCTGTTCCTTCTGAAACCTAAGTTTCCCACCAGCATCTTCGGCTTCCTCTGTGACACCCACTCTCTTTCTTTTCGGCTGTTCCCTTCTCCCTTTCATGTGATATATATTTTTTTCTTTTAAAATCACAACCTTACTCTCTGAGAGGGAAAAACACTCTATTACAATTGAAGGGTCTTGGCCAGTATGTAAAAAATGTCTTTTCTTAAGACTTGGGATGTTTATCTAAAATACTCTTCAAATGTGTTTACATCAAGAAATTTCAGAAAAATACAAGTGAATTTCTTGAGAAGTAGAAAAGGCTAATTAGGGTAAAAACTGTTTTAGCTACCTCTTGTATTTATGTGCCTGCCTCAAGATGTGCTAAATTTTCTATTAACAAATGTATTAGACCGAGAGCATTTCAAATAAAAAAGATGGAAGGTATACAAGGTGCGTGTGTGTGTGAATTTGAAAGGAGTTTCTAATGTTTAATCTTAATCCATCTTTCTCCTGTTCCTGTCCCCAAAGAAAACAAAACCCTCCCACAGCACCTTCACCCCTTGTGAAGCGGTGGTGTTGCCACGAGGGGACTAGAGGCTGGAGTCAGTCAGTGCACAGACTGCCAGGCCCAGGGGCATTCACGGCCAGGGTTCAGGAATGGGCAGAGTAACTATCTCAGGCATAAACACGACTTTATATATAAAAGAAATAAACGTGATAGAAGAGGCTCAGAAACCCATGGGGAAGAGATGGATTATTCAGTCAGTTACACTGGCACAGCTCGAAAGCAGTTTGGAAAGCAGCTGAAATCTCCCATTGGCCACTAAAATGAATCGCTGGTGAATTAGAGTTAAATAAAAAAGTTCAAACTGAAAAATAATGATTTAAATATGTATCAAGCCCTGGCTGCTGTGCCTCAGTTGGTTGGGCGTCTTCCCGGGCTCGAGGTTCAATTCCCAGTCAGGGCACGTGCCTGGGTTGTGAGCTCGATCCCCTACGGGGGGCGTGCAGGGGGCAGCCGATCGCTGTTTCTCCCCCTCCCCGCCCCATCCCTCTCTCTAAAAATCAGTAGAAAAATATTTTTAAAAATTTTATCAAATGGCTTCAATAGGGAGGACTTCCTAAATGTGGAAGAAATAGAAAAAAAATGACAAAAGAAATGTTGACTGGATTTGGCTATCTCTTCTCTTAGGGGGAAAAATGGCATGTGTGAAAAAATAACCCGTAAAATAGAGCAGGAAAAATGTTGTCAGTGAACATGAGGGACTTAGATAATGCTAACTAGATGGTAATGTATTTAATACTTAAATGATCAGTAAATAATAGCAAACAACTTAAGACCTCAACAAATAAATGGGGAAAATAACACAATTCACCCAAAAACCCAAATACAGATAATTTTTTTAAACTTTTCTTTTAGTAGTACTTACAAATTCATAGGAAGGTGTAAAGAAATGCAGAGGGAGGGCCCCTGCACCCTGACCCAGCCTCCTCCAATGTTAACACCTCTGCACCCAGTTTTTTTACAAAGGAAAAAATGTTCAACCTAATTCTTAACAAAGAAATGCTAATTAAAACAATTACCTTAGCACGAAATATTTCTAAATTAAAGTGTTTGACGCCCCTACAGAGGTAGAGAAAACAGAGGTTCTCTTACTTGTTGATGTAATTAGGTAATATATATTTTGTCTTGAACGTTTTTAATAATGATGTACAATCAAGGACACGTTTGCAAACATGTTCACCATCTTTACAAATTTGGAAACACCCTTAATTTCCATTAAAGAAACTGTTCTCTGTGACACACAATTAGAATAAAATATTATCTGTCAACTAAAGTCCATTGGCTCAAAGAACAGCCTGGGGGAAAGTTTGCAATGTGATGTTAAGTGGACATGGCAGGCTATCTAAAGACCATGTACGGTGTGATCCCAAGTTTTCAAACTTAAAAAAAATCTATACACAAATATTTTAGTACAAAAAATAGACCAACTGATTCATAGGGGCCACATCTAGGGGATGAGACTTTAAGAGATGTTTACTCATTTTTTGTATTTTCTGTTTTGCACACATTACTTTTATCTTCAGGACAAATGTTTGAAAATTATTACAGTGCAGTGTTGTTGGGGGAAAGTTTATAAAATTAGATGGATCGATAAATAGATGGTTATTACAATTATTGCAAAGCAAAGCTATATGTATAAAAAGGATTGTAGAGAAATGTATCAAAATAGTGACAGCGGTTGCATCCGTGTGGTGGGATTATGTGTTCCCTCTTTTTTTCTGTTTATTTATCTTTTGTAAGGTAAAAAACAGACAAAGAGCTGCTCTCGCCTTACGAAGTTGAGGGGCTATTATTTAATGGACCGGACTAGATTGGCACGTTAATACCCGAGCCCCGTGCTGTGCAGGCCCTGCGGGGCTGGGCGCAGTCCCGGCCGTGTGCAGTCGGTGTTGGTAGGAAGGAGGGGAGGAGAGGGGCACAGAGGGGGCCAGGGCTGGGCGGCCCAGAAATCCTCCTGACACGTCAGTCTAGGAGGAGGAAGGTAGAGAGAGCAGGAGAGGCTGGTAACCATTAACGAGAACAGGTAGATAAATCATTAGAGTCTTGCGTGGTGGTGGCTGACCAAGGACAGGACAGTTGGGTGTCTCAGCATGAGAGGAGCTCCAGTATTCGCCTTGGTGTCTCCTCTCTCGAGGAGAGAGGCTTCCCCTTGGGGGTGACCGCTGGTACTGATTTATAGATCCTACAGCAATCTCTTTGGTAGGGTAGAGAAGAAGCCTGCTTTTCAGAAAGTCGTATGGATATTGAAAGGGGGTAGGAGCTGTCAAAGAATACCTTGGGCCTGCTATCTTAGGAGGAAGCCAAGAGGAAAGGACACAGCAGACTCAATCTCACCTTCACTCTCCGCTCCTAGCGCTCTCTGTGTTCCACGGTCTCGGGCTCAGGTGTGTTGGGTGTGTTCTCAGCACCACTCATTCAGGCCACAAATCTGGTCTTATCGGTCATTATGTCCCTCCATGGCCAGCACAAAGCAGTGGCCCAATCTGTTGAGGTAAATTGAATTTTTCACTTACAGCGCATTCCCCAAGTATTCGGGTCCTTCCCGGTGGGAAAGCCTAGACCCGTGAAGAAGAGAATGGGAGCCGGGCAAGGCGAGGAGATCGTGATAGTCCATTGGGTCACCTGCGGGGCCGGGGAACTTCCTTCCCTGGAAGAGTCTTTGTGGTTGGAGAGAGACAGACAAAGAGAACTAGCTCAGTCATCCATGAATAATGAATGATCTGCCACCGGGGGTACACCTGGAACAGAACACACAGTTTATTTGTCAAGGGGACACCCCACAAGCAGCATATTGGCCTCGGTGAGCACACTGGGGCAGAAGAAGGCGATGTCACTCTGAACCAGCCATGCAAGGACACTCTGAGTTCAGTACGATTCAGAGGAAATTTTAGGGTGTAAAGCAACATCCTGCAGCGGTAGAAAAATAAGAGGATATGATTCAGAGAGCGCTGGAATTTTTCCCTCTTGAATGGAACAAAGACTGGCCTGGACAGTCTCTTTTTTTGCTTTGAGATTTGTTCATGTGCCTGTAAGTGAGGCCCCATTCAGGGGAGACCTTCGGTTTTCATTTTATTTCGCCTGAGGCTTGTTTCTCCTCAACTCTGGGGCTGCCCTCTGCTTTGAGCTGCTTGTTTGCATGGGCCTGTGACCTTGCGTATCATGCAGCGAAATCAGTTGTTTGCTTTGCTTCTCTTGAGACTGTTTCTAAATATATATGTATTTTTGTTTTTGTGTTTTAAATAGGAAAACTCCACAGACGACAACCGACCCCTGGTCCATCAGCTTTCCAATGAGAGTCGGCTCTCCATCACTGACTCCCTCTCCGAGTTTTTTGATGCCCAGGAGGTTCTGTTATCTCCCAGCTCTTCAGAAAATGAGGTTTGAGCACTGTTTTTAGTTAGGTGCCTCAAAATCTCTTCTGTTGCTTTACTCATTCAGTACTCATATTTAGAAACGCTAAACCCAATTGCTCCTTTCTGTCGTTATATTTTGAGGGTCTTCTTATAACTCACACCCCAAACAGCACAAAAGGATACCAGACCTTAGAATAAAATCTTGTGAAAGTAGGTGCTGGGCATTTCCTTATTTCTATTACCTGATTTGCTAGCCTTCCTCTCAATTACAGGTTAATCATTTTGACTGTTAGCTATTTGAAGCATAATATTTCTACTACAGGGCCAGAAATTAGCATCTTGGGTATTTTTTAATCATTGAATTCAACCAATATTAACTTACAACATATAATTATTATATTGTAATATGGTTATAATAATTTATAATATATAACAACATTGTTATAAAAGGATGCATAAAAATCATACTTTCCCAAATAGGCAAGTGTCATACTTGGCCTTGCTGTGTATAAGTGTGTACTGATAATTTTACCCCTTCAGCATAGCAGTACTAATTTTATTTATATAGAAGATTCTTTTTTTCACACATAGTTCAAAGGCAAATATAACTCTTTCTACCCAGACACTAACAAATTCTGAAAGTACAGCCTGAATTAGCAAGAATTTTAGCAACAACTAAATTCTTGAGTTTACTTGTGTTTTCCGTGTGAGAACAGGTCAAGAAAGTGTAAGGATTTTAATAATGGGTGGTTGCCATGAACACCCCCTGGGCAGACAGGTGTACGGGCCTCAATAAAAACAGCACCCAAAAGTACTTCTCTAGGTTTGCAGTGTGGGATTGAAGAGGTTGGATGAATTGGAGTAAAGGTTCCATGAAAACCTGGCTTGTTGACTCTCACTCTAAGGTATGTTATTTCTTCTTTCCCATAGGTTTCTGAGGATGATTCATATGCCAGTGACATAAGTGACAACCTTTCCTTGGACAATCTCAGTAACGACTTAGATAATGAGAGACAGACCTTGGGTAAGATTTTAATTATTTGATCTTTGAAAATTTGGATCTTTGTGGAACACTAATAAACATATATAGAGTACTTGCTGCAGGCAGAGAACTGTAGCAAGTACTACATAAGTAAATTAAGATATTGTGGGAAGACAGCACTCACGTGAGAAAAATGCATTAATTCAAATAAATGTGTCTACTTGCGTAAATTTCTATTTTCTAAAGTGAGAGCATACCAATTACATAAATATCAAAGATTAGTGCAACAGATATCCTTATGTGGTCAAACATTCTGTCTGCAAGCATATTAGAATATAACTTTTTACCTTTAGGTATCTAGTGGTTTTCATAATTTAGGATTGTATGGGGCTGATACAATAAAAGGTCTGGTCTGAGCAGTAACTTAGCTTCAGATTCTTTAAGATAACACATTTGAAAGTAATAAACTTATACTTCCTACAAGTGGGAGCCTCACGGTATCCTAAGATGTCCATTTATTACTGGGTAACCCCCGGAGTGGAAATGATGCCCAGGAAATGTTGTGTGAACCATGGGGTACCTGGAGTGTCTGGCTGTTTCCAAACAGCTCTGATTTAGCAGTTTAGTGAGCAGACAGGTTTGTTTAGCAAGGTGCCCAAAGGAGGAATCTGCCCATTGAACGGTTCTCTGCATGGGTCCTGTAGCATCAAATACTCCCAGAACAGAAAACTTAGACATACAGTATGAGTTATATGGATGAAGGAAACGCTAAGTAAAAATACTCCAAAATATAAATGGCAACTATTCTGGGTAGTGGGATAACGGATGACTTATTTTCTCCATAATTATCCTGTAACAAACTCAATAGTTTCTGTCAGAATTTAAAGTGATTTTTTAAAAGATTTTGAAAGTTTTTATCAAAATTTGAAGTGCTCTTTAAAAAGAGTTTAAAGGTGTACACAGTAACCTGCTCTGGACATCGAAATCCAGTTTCCTGTTTTATTGTAAGTGTGTATGTAGCTATGAGGAACTGGCTTTGAATAGGAACTTAGAGACCTCCCCGTGAATGAAGTCTGTGAATTTTAGTGCATGTAATTTTTGGTACTTAATGTAGTTGTGCAGAATTCTTTTTATCTTGTGACATTCAGTCATATTCCGAATAACTGAGATTAATTGTAAAATTGAGTACTTTGTAGGTAAGAGTTTATGCATGAATTTTTTAAAAAATAAAATAAAGTGAAAAGATGTATAGAGACAACCAGGCTTATTTCCCTTCCAGGGCCAGTTCTTGAAAGTGGTGGGGAGGCCAAGTCCAAAAGAAGAACCTGCTTGCCGGCGCCCTGCCCCAACAGCAGTAACATCAGCTTGTGGAACATCCTGAGGAACAACATCGGGAAGGACCTGTCCAAAGTGGCCATGCCCGTGGAGCTGAACGAGCCGCTGAACACGCTGCAGAGGCTCTGCGAGGAGCTGGAGTACAGCGAGCTTCTGGACAAGGCCGCCCAGATTCCCAGTGCCCTGGAGAGGATGGTGAGGGCGCCCTGGCCGAGGCGGGCAGAGCCAGAGCTCCAGTCCCCTCTATCATCCTTTTGATAGGTTCATTTCTCAGGAACATCTGGTTCCCCTGTGCTTGGCTGTTTTCAGCCACCCTGTAGATCTTGCCATTTGGGGGGGCTCGTCTCTGTGACAGCTGGTGCCCGGGGGTAGTTCCGCTCTGTGGATCTGTGCTCCCTCTTTCTCCGGAACTTCCCATGTGATAATTCTGATAAGCCTGGCTGGAAAACACGTCTTGCGGGCTGTCTGCATATTTATTCTTACCCTCCCCGGTGGACAGAATTTAATTTCTCAAGCTGTTTTTCTCATCCAGGGTAAATTTCCCTTGAGAATGTTTTTGTTTATTTTTGGAATAATATTTTCACATCTACTTCCTAGATTTTCAGAAAATAGCAGGCACAGAAGAGACTTTCCCGTAAGAAAGATTCTTCTTAAGCCCCCCCGCCCCACCACCCTTATTCTGTAGAATTGTTATTGTTTTGAAGCTCATCCTGGAAAAAGTCACCTTCTGTTCTCGGTTGTCACTTCCAAGGAAGGGGCTCCCGATGTTCCCCACCTTCGGGGAATTCCGTGGCGGCGAGGCGCAGACAGCTCAGCCCGTCCAGTGACCGCGGCTGACGCTTCTCCAGACAGTGTCTGTTCCTCTTTTTGCTTCCTCACGTGTTACCTGCTCAACTCAACAGTAAGGTCGTTGTCTGGGAGGCGGGGACGGCAGGGTCCTCCCCCAATGCCAGTCTCTGTCCTGGGCACTTGCTGATTGGCTCACCTGGAGCTGCCACGGCCCCTTGGCTTCAGGCCGCAAAGTCACCCTGTAGCGGATGGAGGACACCATTCTTGTCTAAATTCTCAGCTTTCTGCAGCTTCAACCCTAATTAAAACTTCATTACTTTAGTGATTTGAAGATTAAGGGGAACTCTGACTAGTGGGTGAAAAGGAGACATCCCCAAGTCATTCCACACAGTCCCCGGAGGCTTCTCCCATCAAAGAGGCTTTCTTGTTCCTAGTGATGATAAGAGCAGGAGAGAAAACAAGCCGTGTATTTTTTCAATCTTCTTTGTTACTCTTCCCTGGAGAATTTCTGCGGAACAAAGCGAAGCAAATCGCTTCCAAGGCGAGCTTTAAAAGTCAGCATTTGTGGACAGCTCTTTTTCTTTAAAGGAAAGCACTGGCTTTGAAGATGAAAGTGTTCTTAAAGGTGTTTCATTCTGGCAGCAATTAAGAAACCCTCAGGATGTTCAGCCGATTGGTTGGGATTGATTGGTATTGGTGTCACTGACCTTGAGAAGACGTTTGAGGAAGGGATTTGCATCCCAGCCCCGTGCGTCCTGTCCTGGAAAGCCCAGGACAGCGGAGCAGGCGCCTTGGCCTGGTCGTGGTCACCGCTCTGTGGGTCAGCTCCTGGCCCTGCAGAGATTCCCTCTCCCGTTCCGACCCCAGAGGAGGGTGCTGACTGTGCCGGCTCCCTCCCTCTCATCTCCCATCACGAATGACCCCAGGTTCATTTACACATTTTGCTGTATCTTAAATTGTGAGGGTGATTCAGGGTTGGTTCGGCATTCAGCGTGACCTTCCTGTTTACAGGGTAGCAAACACCTGAGGACGCAGGGGAACAGGTACCCAGCTTCAGGGACAAGGACTGCCCGGAGCATAGGGGGTTGGCTTTCGGAAGGCCTCCCGCTGCTCTGGAGGGTCCCATGGTGTGAGAGGGGAAGGTGGATCCTGTTTGTAAACAGCAAAGAAAGGTTATGCGACGAACGATCGGTCACGCAGGGCACTCAGCTTCCTTTCCTTCCGAGATGAGAAACTTCGGGGAACGTGCTGGGAAGAGGAAACGTGGAGATCGTCACTCTTCCCTTTTGAGTTTCCCATCTTTCCTCCCCCGAAAAGCGGAACTTTCGGCGAGGCACTGTGCTCTGTCCTGGGCCTCGTTGCTCAGGCTCAGGAAATGACTCTCGCAGATTTTCTTCTGTCAAAATGAGTTTTGAGATTTCTACAGTGTCAGATTGGGAACGGTTGAACCTAGGAGGCTAATTCCTGGGCTCTGAGGAAAGTTTGGCACTTTTCATGCTCTCCTTTCCTCTTCTCCCCGAAAACCGTAGCAAGATACCCAGATTCTCAGGTATTGTCAGGTTCAGAGGGACTGGACTCAGCCTAACAGCTCCAAACAGTGCGATTCATTTGGTAAATATCATCAGGTCGAGAGCCTCTGCCAGCTTCTAGGCATCAGAACAGAGGGGCAGTTTGAAAATGTTTGGTTCATTTGGCTCTGAGGCCACATGAACATTACTCAAACCTGCAACTTTAAACCAGAGTTGGGCCCTGGCTGGTGTGGCCCAGTTGATTGGAGCATTGTCCCACGTGCCAGAAGGTCATGGGTTTGATTCCCGGTGAGGGCACATACCTAGGTTGCAGGTTCCGTCCCCAGTTGAGGGGCATGCGAGAGGTAACCGATCGATGTTCCTCACAATGGTGTCTCTCCGCACCCCCCCCCATTCCTCCCTCTCTAAAAATAAATAAATAAATAATAATAAAATTTTAAAAACTAAAATAAATTAAATCAAAGTTGATTTGGTTGTCTTTAAAACAGAGACAAATCTTTGGCTTTCTGAAATAATCCATAAAGAGGGGAAGAAAGCCTTTATTTTGCTCATATCTTTGTACAAACAAGTGCAACAGAGAAGTAACAATGCCCCTTCCTCCCTCTCAGGTGTACGTGGCAGCCTTTGCCATATCGGCGTACGCATCGAGCTACTACCGAGCTGGGAGCAAGCCCTTTAACCCGGTCCTCGGAGAAACGTACGAGTGTATTCGGGAGGACAAGGGCTTCCAGTATTTTTCAGAACAGGTGTGTATATACCCTTTTTGTTTGTTGTGTACACCCATTTGTCTTCTTGTACCAGAGGAGTTGCTTAGCCTGCCATTACATGTGCTTTTGAAATACTTATTTTCCACCTTTCACTGGCTTCAAAGCAAGTGGGATAATTACAGTGCTTTTACATACAGAGGGAGGGACTGAGCTCCCTTCCGCGGAAGCCGAGCCACCGCCCTGGGCATAAAGGCCCAGCAGTGCTGAGCTCTCGCTGGGCCATATGCTTCGGCAGTGCCCTTCCTGTTCCAAGTCCTAGTGAGAGAAAAAATCAAAGTAAGAAGCATTTGCCCAAACTGCCATTTAGAGGTTTGAAGTGTGCACCCTCAACTCATTGACACCAGCATTCTAGAGCATGAGCGCCCCCGTCAGGATGGGTAGTGCCAAATACATGCATTACTCTTGATTTTAAGAGTGATCATTCAGTCGTGTATTTATTCATTCAGTCCATAAGTATTCCGCGAGCCTATCCCACGTGCCCGGCATCGCTCCAGGTGCTGGGAGAACGCAGCGGGGTGGGGGCTGCGGGTGCCTGCCCTCACCCAGTGGATGGACTTATGCGGCCCGAGGTCCCTGAGCTTCCTTCCACCTGACTCTTCCCATCTCAGAATGAGCAGAGAACAGCATCTCTGGATCCTGACAGCGTAGGTTCAAATCTCAGCTCAGCCTCTTGCTAGGTTTGTAACCCAGGGCAAGCTGCTTAACCTCTCTGTGCTTCAGTCCCTCTTTAAGGTGGAGACAATAATGTACAGACCTCGGCTGGCTTTGTAAGGGTTAAAGGAGGCGCTTTCTGCCATGCACTTAGTATCCGGCACGTGGATAACAAGTGTCCTATGAGTGTTTGCTCTTGTTACTGACGCTTGACAGCATGATTTGCAATATGTCATATTGGCAGCATCCAAAATACCTGTCAATAAGGAATTATTTAGCTAAAACAGGGTGCAAAGGTATTGAAAATAAAAACAAAAAACAATTATCTCCCCCTGGCGAAGGCAGAGACTGACCATGCCCCCCCTCCATGCACCCCTAAATGTCACCATAGGAATATTAAACCTGACTGCTGCTGTGGTACATTTCTCTCCTCCCAATTCTTAGAAAACGGAGGGAAAAGGGGTGGGGTTCACTCAAATGCTATTTCCCTTCCTGTCACCCTGCCGCCGTTTGTCAGTGGAGGTGCATTGTGGGGGTAGGAAGGGAAGGGTAGTGTGGCTGAGAGGCTTATGGAGACGGTGCTTGTCTTCGCTGTAAATTACAGGCAGTGTTCTCTGCAACTCAAAGAGAAGTGGATACACAATCATCCCAAAGCGCATTTTAAGTGGCTTTCCAGTTAGAAGCTAAAATGAGAAATTAAACACTGATGCCGGGGACGTAGGGGGTTAAATCAGTAGTTAAGGGGATAAGATCATCTGATTCAAATCCAACTGGGTTATTTAAGTCCTGAACCTAAAATGGAATGAGAATAAATGAAAATGTAATTTGGTTACCATGGCATTATATGCACTCATGTTAAAATAATAAAGGCCCAGAATAGCCCCAAACTCCAGCCAACAATCAGGATGAATAGGTATAAGAAACAATAGTAATGTGAGCTGGTCTAAAGATAAGCTTCGGCCCTGTGAGCCCCTCCCGGGCAGGACCAAGTTCAGGGTCCGCTTGGGTTTCTCCTGTGGTGACGCAGAGAGAGCGAGCAGAACTCCCGGGCTCGTGTGCACAGAGACGGAAAGAGCATTACATAACTTGGCCTTTAGTTCCGCGAAACGGATCCCAAGCAACTAGGCAAGAAGGAGATCTGGTCATTGTTAGTAGCATAGGGTGTGCTGGGCAGACCTGCTTGACCTGCTTTTAAATCCTAACTCCTCCGCTTACTCTGTACGTGGCCTTGTATAAGGGACTTACATTTTCTGAGCCCCAGTTGTTTCTTTCTTTATAAAATAGGAGTGGTGGTGCTTAGCTCATAGGTAGCAATAAAGCTCAAGTGAAATAATACTCAGATGTATAGATTATTATTGCACTGAGGATAGTAAACACTCAGCACTTGGTTGCTGCTCTTATATTTGGAAGCAACTTTTAAAATCTTTTTCAATATGCAGTGTTAAGAATAGCAAGAGGAGTGTCGAAATAAGATATACTGTATCTATGCTACTAATTCAAGTGGTTTGAAGGGGGCAGAATGGCACTGGTGAGTCTCTGACAGAAAGCCAGCCGTGAGACAGCAGGAGTCCTCACAGCTGGCTTCACCGGGGTAATACCTGGTGACGTGGTGGAGCCCCTTCCTGAGTCTGGAACTGAGCCTTCTGGCCTCAGGTGGTTGGTTCTTTTCATACACCCAAGAATGGATGAGTCTCTCAGGAACAGAGTCACACTAGCTTAGGTTGCGGAGACTGATATATAAACTAGATGCTACTAATATGCATTTACTATGACAAATAGACCCGCCTTGGGGACCAGAAGACTTTCGTAAGCATGACCAGGCGCACTTTCCCCACAGATTCCTGGGGAAGCCAACATTATAATCATGACGTGAGTGTGGTGAGAAACAGAGGTGGCTGTTTAACTCCATGTGCCAGGCTGCCCGCTTGCCCCGGGAGTGGAAGGAGTTTTGTCCAGGGCCCTTCCTTTCCTGGCTGACAGGAGACTCGCCAATTCAGCCCCTCCCTCTTCCTTGCCGACCCTTGATGATGCCAACCCGGTGTGCATGGAGACCTTCTAACTTAGCACATCTCAAGCGCCAGAGCTCTTATGCAGATACCTGCCAGTATGGCTCTTCCTGCTCCCAGCCCGGGAGACACCGTCTCCGTGACGGCACCCTCCTCGGTTACATGTAGGTCATATAAAGACTTCGGCTTTCAGGGCTCGGGGGCTCCTGTGCTTTCCTGTACCTCTGCAATGAGTAGACGTCGCGCATTGATTAATATCATAAACTGAGAAAGATCCCCTATTTCACATTTTTGGGTGGAATTTTATTCTAACGAGGACATTGATGTAAATCATATCACCAAGTGAAAGGACCTGGAAAGTGACAAGGGTGACTCAGCTTTTCTACTATTGTGCTTTCTAGACGACATTTGAAAAGCAATGTCTGTCCCTTTCCTCCAAGCCCTGGGTTTTGTGGGTTTGTGGATTTGTGGATTTGGGGGTATATGGATGTTCGAAGTGGTCAGTGGTCCGGCAGGTTGGAGTAAGTGCTCCTTCCTAGAGTTTAGCTACATCGAGCAATGTTGCTTCTCACCTAAAAAAAAAAGACCCAAAAATGCAACGTCAGAATGACTCACGTGGTCAGAAACCAGAGGGAGCATTTGCTGTTCAAATTTTCCTCCTAACAATTAAGTACGAGGTGTGCAGGGTGCTTTATGCTTTTCGCATGGGAGCAGGATCTTATTTGCTCTTCCAAATACCGCTGTGCGGCAGGTGAGGCGAGGATCAGTTACAGGCGAGGAAACTGAGGCTGAGAGCGTCAGCCTCTTCCAGTGCCCCTCAGCCAGCGCCCTCCGTTTCCACTCCCGTGTCCCCTCACCGTCCCCTTTTGTGGGGGATCTTTTGTACAGGCGTAGCTGCTGTCCCCAGAGCAGCTGGTTTATCAGCTGCCGGCGTGAAAACAGCCCTTTGTGTACTGTTCAGACCGTGGGATTCGGCCCGTCGTTGTCACTTAAGCCTTCCATCCTTCAGACTCCCCGTAGGACTTTGCTCTCGGCCCCCGCTGTGGGCTGGCAGGTGGCCTTTGTGGAGGCGGCACATTCAGGAGTCGATTATAGACATTCCGGTTATACATTCCGCCGTCTCGGGGAAGAGCTTCCTTTGTGCCAAGAAACCCGATTCAGCCTCGGCTTTCTAAATAAGCCCAGGAGAGGAGGGTTCAGGAGGAAAGGACCCCGTCTCTCCTCTGGGGACCGGTCTCCCGCTGGAGAGTGAGTCCTCACCGGCTCCCCCTGCTGCCTGGCACGGGACCAGCACGCTGGCGGTGAGCTTCCTGGGCGCCTGCCTGGAGGGCCCGGGAAACTCACTCCAGGTTGCTCTGCTTCTCTCTGCGCCCTTGGCAAAGGTGTGGTGTCTAAGTTTAGGATGTGCAGTCACGCTGTCGCCCGAAAGTGGCTTTTCCCGATTAACTGAAACTTCAGTTGTCAGGTCGCTGCTCCAGTCATTTTCCCCGTTGGCCTGCCCAAGCCACACCCTCCCGAGGGTTTTGGCGGAAAAGCCGAGCGGAGTTACTGGAAGTTCCTGAAATGGAAGAGTCAGGTGAAGTGCATGAGGTGGCTCTTCCTCAGCTCCACGGCTCGGCCCTTCTTCCCCTTCTGCAACTCATCGGGAGAACTCTGAACACACAGTCTCCCTTCTCCTTGCACCCTCACGCCACCTCTCTGAACAGTTCTTTTATCCGCTAGCAGGTGGAGTTATTTACTCCTCCTCAGAGTAGCATCTTATTTAAAGACATTATCAGACGGGAATAAATATGATCTGCTTTATACGAATCTACTTTAAAATATGCCTGCAGTTTGGAGGAACATTCCGTAGCTCTTCCCTCATTGCAC